AACAAGTAGCTCGAAGAGATATATCGAACGGTCCAATATTAACGAACATGCAAAATAAAACTCTCATTATCATTCGGTTATCCCAAAATAAAAATCCAATCCGAGGCACGGTCCCCACATAGTGAATCAAACGAAACAAAAACTCGTCCCAAGTCATTCCTCAAATGATTGCTCGAGTCAAACTCCCTCATTCACATATACGTGCAAAAACCATGAATGATCTACAAAAATGAAATAATAAGCACGAGATCAATAGGCCAACTCCCCGATTTTCTTCTCTTTTTTTTTTATTATTATTTTTTCTTCTTCTTTTTTTTTTAAATATGAGCTACTTTTTCCAAATGAGAGCCGTTTGGACGATTATTACTTAGGTTTAACTTCGGGGTTTCTCCCCGAGTCGCCTAGGCCGGTTTCCCATGCTCGTTGACCCGATCTATCTAAAAGATTAACCGAGCCAATAGGAGCCTAATCCTTTCGACTCCCACGAACTCATTTCATGAGCTTCTTTTTCCAAACGAGGTTTCTGGACGAGATGACCTAGGTTTAACCTCGAGGGGTTTCCTCGAGTTTCCTAAACCGGTTTCCTGGGTTCATTATCCCAATCCATGAATGGCTCGGAATAAGAGAAGCCTAATCCGTACTTCCTCGCGAACTCACTTTTTATTTTCTCTTTTTTTTTTAGGGAGAGGCACACAAGGATACATCACAATTACAATACATAATCATCTCAACTCGATCGAAATGTACCACAAGTGTATAGATAACACGTTTACAATGATAATCGAACATAAGGTAAGCATGCCTCAAGACAACCAATCGAGAACAAACGAAGGACGAAACAATTCCGTTAATCCACATGCGAGTTTTAATGTCAACGAATCATCAATCAATCAAAGGAGACCGTCAAATTCATCAAGTACATCAAGCATGAATGCTAATAGTGAAATCAATCAATAATCTCGACTCACCACTTAGCTATCTCGACTCTCGAACAAACATCAAGTTCCATGCGGGAGAGATGACACGAACACACAAAAGACTCAAATAAAACCGGTCCACGACACAACAAATACGAAAAATAAGGCACAAAAATGAAGAGAATATCACCTAAACATTCATAATCACGAAATCCCTCCCCCACACTTAAAACAAATCAATGTCCTCATTGCTTGACCAAAAATTATAGGCGAAAGCACATAATCACGTACGTTCATGCGATAAAAATGAAGACGAGACACAAAGACAAACAAACAAGACAAAATCACACAAAGACACACAAGAAGGAAATAAAGAAAGAGAAAATAGGAAAAGAAAATGCGTACTCGACACGGTGGTCGTCACCACCGTGTGTCCAATAGTGGTCGTCCGGAGGGAATAGAGGAGGTCAACCGAAGGCCATTGAGCGCGAAATTGAGCCATCCAAACGGTTTAACGTTTAAGTACTTGAAACGAGAGAGGCTATGTTTGTGTGTCTCGGAGAGATAGTAACCAAGAATGCATAAACTCGACGTAGACACACGTTCACGTGAAAGCGCAAAAATCGGGCCTCGAAGTCCTTGTCGATCCCCGCCATGGTCCAATACAATGAGCTCCGTTTGTATGCAACGCATAAACGATTACCGGCGCTTGTCGTAAGTAGGTACCTACAAACTCAAAATCCCGGCAAAAACACACATATATGTGGCACGCCCGGCAAGACGTGCCGAAACACACAAGTCTAACCCA